TTATCAGTACATTTTTATTTATTCAGATATGAAACGTTTTCTTCTGGACTTAACCATTAACCGTTATAACAAGAAGTAATAATTGAAGGTAAGAATTCATTTTATTTTCTATAATTTCCTGTTATGACGGAACAAAAATTAAAAATGATTATTAAATGACAATTTCATGTTAAAGTGAATGATCTATATTTCGTATATTCTTTTATCATTAATTTTGTTAGATGAATTTCATTTATTCTTGTTCTTATGTGTTTAGTATTTTGTATGCAAGTGAGTTGTTTTATTAAAGTTGAAAATTTTATCCATCTAGTTGGTGAATATATCTTTGATCTCAAATAACTTCAATGATTTGATTTCATTAGTAACCGGATTGTATCATTAAATATCATCTTGCTATCTGTATTCTTTTCTCTTGTTTTATCGATTTTCAAAATTATATTTATCATGTTATAATTCTGTATTCAAGAATATTCGTAGTTACAGACATGTAAAACAACATTTATTTGTATTGATTGATGCTTAGGACTGCAATCGATCAGTTTGTTTTGTCATATGTACATCCAGTAATTCAATAGCATTATAAGCAGAGATGAATGATAAATGGCAGTGGAGTCCAGGATGTAAGATTGGTTCTATTCGGGACTCGTCAGCTGGATGTACCCGCGTCCCAGAATTAATATACCAAACTAGGGTTCACTCGATTGCCTTTGAGATGGTGGAGAAGATTTGTAGCTCAGGTGAATGATTTTGATGTAGTTTTGTTCTCTGAGCTAGATGGTTTGGTCGTGAAGCTTTCATCGTTCTTCTAAAAGACAACATCAGCACAAACTTCAGGTACGAGTGAAGTGTTTGAAGTTTAAAGTTTGTGCTGATGATGTCGTTCAAAGAAACAACGAAAGCTCCACGACCAAACCATCTAGCTCAGAGAACGAAACTCTATCAAAAACTCGATCGCCTTATTTAAGGATTAGAAAATAGTGCATTTAATGAAAATACCAGTATAGGATTGTCAAGAATGTAAAGTTTAGATTGATCTCATGAATGAACATTAACATCGTTGGATGCGGGCTCAGTGGTCTAGAGGTTAAGCGTTGGCATGCAAGACTGGAGGTTCTTCGTTTGAATCCTGCTTGCAGGGCCGTGAATGCTCACTACTGAGGAGTCCGTGCTGGGACGAGACTGCTGTTCAGTGTTTCCAGGTTTTCAATGATAGTCTAACATTGATCCATTTATGATATCAATCCAATGCAAATTTGTACGATTACGTCATTCAGATGAACCTATTTTTCGCTCAGTTTTGTTTTACTTCCTCTACTGCAATCGGTCTGACAGTATAAGTTTCTCAATTATCCATTTGGTAATTCTTTTTTAACATAATAAAATATGAGTGTAAATAACTTCAGTGAGAAAAGTTATGTTGTTAGGTTCATTTTTACTTCATTGCATTTTCACACAGAATTAAATTTATGATAAGCTGTTAAAGCGTATTTGTTTTGCTTAATTAGAAAAAAGCATCATTGATAAATTCAAAAAAGCCAATCTTTTGTCTTAGCTGTATCTAATAAGTGGAACGGTGTTTATGAGATATTTACAGCAACAAATCAGAGGAAAAGACGTTGAAGGTGGGTTGGACACATATTACAGAAAGTATCAAACTGTATCACAAAGCAAGCAAGAACTTGGAATCCTCAAGTCAAAAGGAAAGGAGAAAAAAACCAAAGAACAAAACGCCCCAGAAATCCGAAGCAGATATCAAAATAATGGATAGTACTTGGAAAGAACTGGAAAGGCGAGATCAAGACAGAGTAGATTGGGAATCCCTGTTCAGTGGTCTATGCTCTACTAGGGTTAACAAGCGTAAGTAAATAAGTGAGAAAGTAAGCAAGCCATTGAGTCATTGATACATTATTGCTTTTGTTTTGGACCAGGTAAAATAACACACAAAAACATTCAAACATAGCTATATATATGGTTTATGCTGCTGATGCTGACAGATATAAGTGGTATGTAGCTGCAATGCGGAAGTGGACTGCCTGGAAGTAGAAGATTGAAATGTAGAGAAAAGAGAAGGAAGCAGAGAGGAATTGGAATAACACCGCGATTGGAGGAATTAAGAAGTATGTACAGGACAAGTGACGGAAGATGTGTAAATATATTTAATGTATAATTTTAGTAAGTCACAGTGTAATTATGCATTAAACAATAAATTGAAATTCCCCACCTGAGTTCTCGTTCACTACATATGTACATGAATAATACTTATCCCACTGAAACCAAAACTCTCAACAGTCCATCTTTTACAAATTATTTCAATTTTTATAAATGCTAATCATATTCTTACAATTATAGACAAATAACTATGACATTTCCCAACTAGTTAATTATACTAAACAAAAGTTTAAATAATTAACGTGAAATAGATGTGCTGAGGGAGCATCCAAAGTAAAACGCTAAAATTAATGAGAAAACTTCTCACAATGAACGTATATAAAATGATAGAGAACATAATAAAACAAATGTATATGATTGAATCTTATGGTTAAGATATTTTTTTCTCAAGAGATTAAGACTGTCAGTCATAGAACATTTCAATAGGAATTCTAGATTTTAGTATAGTGTCAATGATTTGTAGTGACAGAGAAAGAGAAGGAGGGAAGAAAGGCATGTGAAAAAAGAGTAATGACAATGAACTGAACAATACAACTTAAAATAAATGACATGCGTACGAAGAAAAATAGGTTGATTAATAATCGGACAGATAGTTTTCTAACCAGACAAACAAGAGTGGTTTACTAATTTATTCTCGGTACAAAGAATTTTGGGAATTACTTAATGTTATTGATAACGTAAACCTATTCAAGTTTAAGATTCATTAATAACTAGAAATTCATGCGAACTTGTTTCGTCCTATTATTGGGCTCAGCAGTCGGTATAAACGGGCACTAAAGGGGGTCGGGCACAAAACCTAAATGTCTTTCATTGAGCTCTCAAACGTTTGACCACTGAGCCAGAATTCGACTGTGCAATTTCGACTTGAATCAAGCAGTTTCATATCAAAGAAAATAAAAGGTGACTGCGCATTATCACTAACTGGCTGAAGTTAGACAATATACGCTGTTGTCTCCAGGTTAGTGAACTATAGGCTGCGCCTTCACGCGCAAGACTGTAGACCTTGGATCTGATGCCTTTTAGTTGGGTTGTGGATCCATACTGTTGAGTTGTTTTGTACTAGAAAGCAATAGTTGTCCATTGCCTTGTGAATTTAAGAGGATGTCTAACAATGGTTACTTCGTAATATCTGTAACAAATAATTGTTTTTTTTTTAAATTCATCTATTTTTCAGACGAAATTTTTATTATTTAACATATTACTATTCATTTGTGAAGGTTCATATTTCTCTGTTGTTGTCTTTTCCTTTCTTCTGTTATATTTGGATATTGAACAGATTGACTCAATATTGCTATTTAGTCACAATCATTTAGTATTGTTAGACTCAGTTAGTATTTACTATCCGTTTTCCTCAAATAATACTATTCACTTATTAGTGTCAACCAGAAGTTACCTATTTTGTTTTATCTTTTACCTTTACTAGCCTAATTAACTTATTAATTCACAGTAAATAATTCGTACCGAATGTTTACTGCAGATTTATATGGTGTTAATAAAAAATTTGCTTATAGGTGAATATTTACTAGATTATTGGAAGACAGAAAGCTTAAAATCTATCATTTAGAATGTCTTAAAAACTGATATTCATTTATTTGTAATCTAGTTCGGTTTTTTCTCCTAATAGAAGGAGCTTGTTGAGGATGTTTAGTATTTTAGTTTATGTCATGGCGTGATCTTAGAGAATCGCTGTAAACCAGAAAGCATTGGGTAGCTGTTGCTTTCTAGTACAGAACTCCTCACCTGTGTGGATACACATCTCTATCACATATTTCAGGCCTGATAGCTATTGTATAACGTTTAGACTGCTGAATCGGCATCCAATAGTCATTGATAATTAGCATTGATTGGTGACTCACATACTACTAGTGAAAAGCTATAATCGTTGGATTTCAGTCATATCAAGTGTACGTTAGTTGCTTACCAGTGTTGTTAAAATATGGTTAAAAATATCGCAAATCGAAGATAGAAAGCTAAACCGTTAGATGGCAACTTGGTGATTCAAATATTTAACGCTCTCCATGAGACTTGAGGATTCTAGTTTTGATCTCCGATGAAGTCGTACATGCACACCGAATTCGAAAGGGACAGTTGTTTGGTTCTTCATTGTTTGCTAGATGATATTTAACAGGAAACTTTTGATTCAGGTTTCATGTTATTTGGCACTCGTTAGCAAGGCATATTTGTAATCTTGGCTGAACCAATGGTTTCTGAATGATATGATCCTGTGTTAAATTGCTCTCCAGTCAGAGAAACTATTGCTGTGCTGAGTTGTGACTAACCTCCTTGTTTTCAGTGGTTCTGTAACTAAGGTCACTCAATGATATAAACTATAGAATTGAGGTCAAACTTTAGTTAAGTCATCCAGTATTTCACAAATTGAAATTGTACAAATAAACATACAGTATAATTCATATCAATTTTGCGATTGGTAATAACGTTACTAACATTATGTACAATTAAGTTTTATTTTCTCTAGTTAACATTTACCTTATTGTTTAAAATTTAGTAGTTGATATTAGCAGAATATTTTGCTCAACAGTAAGAAACAACTTATTTTCAGTTATAATGAGAGAGGGGTTTTGTGGATATTATAGTAATTTCATAGTTGAATACATGAGTCAATTGAAGCTAGACCATCATGGAACACCTGGAAACACTAGACGACCGTTTCATTCTAGTATGGAACTCCTCAGTAGCGCGACTCCATGATCCATTCCTGCGAGATACAATTGACTCATGAATTCAACTATTAAATTATTTTCAATTGTTTACTATTCAACAAAAAAATCAATCAACTATTAACAACTAGAAAATGATGTCGATAATCTTACCTCTCGATCTTCACGTTCACATTCAAATCTAAAATAGACAAAAAAACGAAATAAATGAAGAAATGTATTGAGAGAAATAAATTTTCTAATTTATTATCTACAGGAGATAAGCCGAAGACGGTATATCTGAATAATTATGTCTTTGATTATCTCACCAGGTGTTTCAAGTCCTTGTTTGTAGATACACCTAAGTGATAAGTACCAACTAAAATACATTGAATGTTCAAATAACCAAGTGAATAGTTGTTTTCTTTTGCCATACAAAAGATGCGGCTTTCATTTACGTCCTAAGGTGTATATCTTCAGTTTGTTCACAACATGTTTTGTGATAATTGTTATGGATTTACTTTCAGGCTAATCAGTTATGTACTAGTAAACACTCACATTTTAGTATAATGTAGTTAGAATCAAATGGTGGGCGGCTTATACTCTTCCACGAGGAGTAACAGGCGTAAGTAAGTAGGTGAGTTAGAATTAAATGCACTGAAGTAATGAAACCCGTAAATTACAAATAATCCAATTGTCTGTAATATGATCAAGAAAAACTTTATTAAATTGTTTAAAGTCAGGAAAACTTGTATTTCCAAAATCAAATGATAATCAATAACAAGTAATGGTTATTATTTTTGAAAAAAATAAGTGGAACTAAGTTCGTTTATATACTATTGGATAAATGGATTATTGGTTTTAATTCTAATTTAGTCATTATTTTTTTAACCATAAACTAATAGATCAAAGTTGAAGAAATACCGAAAACTAAAATGTACTAGACGGTTGTTCCATTCAGGTATTGGACTTCTCAGCAGTGTTGACCCACAATCCTTCACCTAAAAATCGAACCCAGGTAATTTGATCTTGCTTAATCTAACTTAATATCCAGACCAATGATCCGTGATCAAATTATGTACAAATCTAACTTCAGTTTGTCTAAGATAGTGAGTGATCATCTTCCATTGTCTATAGTGAGTACCTCCCTCGCACTTGACATGGTTGAACTCCTTTGATCACAGCTCCTCACTAGAACTCCGAAAGTTTCCTCTTGAAGTCAACCACTAGCGAGCTCATAACAACTGACAGTATGGTTTAGAGGTTAAACGTTCGCGAGCGGGACGGAACTTCCTGGGTTTAATTTCCGCTTGCGAGATTGTGGATGCATACTGTTCAGAAATCGCGTACTGAAACGAAACAGTCATACAGTGCTTTCGTATTTGCAACGGTTGTCTAAATTTGATCGGTTTATGATTTTATTGAAATTCAACAAACTCCACAACCGAAAACTGACAATAAGCTAATAATTTACTCTTATGTGATTTTTATATATTAACAAAATGAAAGTGTTATGGTCATAGTTACCAAAATGTACTAATACGACATTTACTTTGATATTATTACTGACAATGACAGAGTAATGTGGAACTCTATAGTTTTTTTTAGTGTCATAGTCCATTTTTATTCATCGTCAAACAGGTGCATTATTTTACAGAGAACAGTTTTCATGTTTATAAATGGGAATAATTACGGTGAGACTATAATTTATGGACGACATTTAAGCAATTTTGGATTGACTTAGAGAATTTCATCTACTCACGAGAGTAAAGGAGGGCTACAAATCAGTGTAAGGAATCAGGATTAGAATTAACAGTTGAACAGTATGGTTAATAATAGATTTAGGGTTTTATCACGAACTGACATCAGCTATAATACCAAAATACTGTTTAGCCATATGGATGAATGAATTACGCGTTCAAATTCAAGACTAGTTATCTTAATTCTGATTGAATCATACATAAATTATAGTTTTGCCATAATTGCCAATACATGCTATTAATTTTGATTTTTAGTAATATCACAGAGCAGAATCCAGTCAATAAGCACTGAAAACTTAGAAGCATCAAATAACTTTTATTTAAAGTTTAGGATTTATAAGGAACATGTATTTAGAAAGCAAACCTGGAATGCAAAAATAGTTGGAACAATTTGGAAAAGCTTGCAAATTTTAGTTTTTAGTTTCCAGTATAAAGTAGACTCTTGCTGGAACATTGGTAAACTGATTTCAAAGAAAATAACTAATGGGCAGTGTAATATGTTTCAGTAAGTTGGTTGATATGATGGGGAACAGTTTAATTGATTGGATAGTGATTTCCTCCAGTGGCTCATAATGAATAATCAATTTTATGTTCATATTTAAAATATTGCATGTATATATTCTGTTTTATTGAACAAAAGCCTGTACTCTTGACTAGTAGTTTTGTCTTTGATCCGAAATCATTAGCAGGTTTGCGTCAGTAGTTCGGTTTTTTGTGAGGAGCCATTGCTCGACTATTTCTTATCACCTCATATCATTTGTCGGTTGATATAGTCTTTTCTTTTCGTTTTAATAATGGCAAATCAATCCATCAAATTATTAAATCTTATTCAATAACAATATTAGATTTTGGCTTCCATGAAGTACTTGTCCCGATATGTTACATCTTTTATGGGTTCTGCTAATCATACTTTTATGTATAATAAGGTAACTTATACAAATCTGTTTTTAGAATATTTTATTTTAGCTTTCATATACTTTTTGCTCACAAAACGAAATTACTGAAAATGTTTCTAAACATTTTTAAACAGTTTACTATATTTAATAGTTCGATATTATTAATAGTGAATCAAATCCTGCTACTGTTCACTACGTTACTAGACGATTAAATGATGAGCATTAACTTTGAACTCTGTCAATTGATCTATATAATGGAAACATTTCTCTGTATCATCAAATCTATCAATAAGTTTATAGTAGTGTTCATAACATACAACTACTTGATGAAGACAATGGCATACATTTTAATTTTACAAATCAATCAGGTAAAATATTCTGTATGGCTGCAATTTCCCAAAGTAATGCATAGTAATAGATTTCATTGTTTTGAATTAGTGTGAACAGTCAATTGTGTGTTGTGAATCTTTGTTTTTTACTTGTGTACACAAATCAGTATGATAAATATGATATACTAGGAAAATCATTAAAGGTTACGGTATTCAATAGAGTTATTATTTTTTGTCAAATGTATAGAAGAAACGTTATTGTTGATCATTGAATATTAAATACGATACTTATGGAAATGTTAGACAACGTCTTTGTTAGTTGTCGATATACCCTTAGTATTATATATATTGACGAAAAATGATTATATACAGATGATCGATCACTGGGAAGTGATGAAACTTAGTTTTGTGTTTTTATAAGAGCTGATTAAATTTTATCAATGAAGATATAATCAAACTACCAGTCTAATTTAATCGACATCGTACAGAGAGCAGAGATTCTTAGAATATCACAGAAACACTATGCTGACGAGTGTTAGCCAGCATAAAACCTATGTCGAACAGGGTTTCCTGTTAGTTATCTCTGATCATCTAACAAACCTGATTGTGTTTTTTAAAAACACATAGTTTAAGCTTATTAATTAACCAAATATAAGCATAAACGTACTGATGTAGACATTACTGACAAATATTACTGGCTTTACTGTTAATTTTTTCTCATCCTATTCACCAAATGTTGTCTATGTTCAACCTTACTGTTGCAATGTTGATGATTTAAAGTGTAATAGCTTCCAATAATCTAAAAGTGAATATTTTCCGTTTTTCAAAAGTGTTTTACAACTTATGTTCGAATCATGTTCAGAAGTATGATAATTATTATCATATAACTCAATTTTTTCGAAATAATATACCTCATTGTGAGAAAGGTATCAGTCAGAATTAAAATAAACTGCCGACTTTAAGAGATGCTTCAAGTGACCTTGATTTACTTTATATTAATAAGGCAAGAGTGGGGAGAGTCAGCTTACGCTCTCAAAATGCTCTCACATAGCCATGCGTACACAGTCACGGCCAGGGTATTGTATGTGAAATTTAGAGGACGAAAAGCAAATGTCCGGAGTTGTAACCGGGTTGATGGACACAGAAAGTTCACCTAAGGTAGTTAGAAAACCCTGGTTCCAAACCAATAGTGCACATGGGCTTCAGGATGCTGAAGGAATAAATGACGTATGAACCAATTATTGATCACCGGTTACCATGGGAATGCATCTACTTTCAATACTCTACTACTTTGTGAATCAGATCTTTAGGTCGAAGGCTCCGGGTGTGGCCCCCTAAGAAAACCTTCTGCTTCGGTTTGGGCACCCGGACAGTATATCAGCCCTCACACCAATCGAATGATTTATGTGCCGCATATCTAATCGGTGCCCCTTTGTACCAATGTTTATGTGTTTAAATAAAAAAGATTCAGAAAAGCCTATAATAATTAGGAGAATCGAAATTGTGTTTTCAATTCAACTTAGTATAACATATATCGATGGCCAAGTTAGATGAAAGGGTGATACATACATTTTTGACTACAAACGGTTGTCTATGAATGTATAGTCGGAAAGACTCAACACTTTGAAAATGTCGAGTCTGAAAATCATGCTGTAAATTTGATAAACTAAAGAGTTTTACTCAAGATAACTGGATGCTTTGTGTCAAATAAAGTGAGCATGAATAAAAATATTTTGTTAAACCAGGTAGGATGGTATTCGTCGATACAATGGTAAACTAGCTTGGCTAAAAGTGGAGCCCAGAATCAACATTCCTTTCTGTTTAGGACTCGTGATGATATTCACATAAGGACTCAAACTCAGTGCTTTTCTCATTAAATCTATCTGTTACATACATTTTATAAAGTTATCCTTTATAAATTTACTTACTTACTTTTGCCTGTTATTCCTTGTGAAAGAGCATAGGCCGCTTACCAGCATTCTCCATCCAACCCTGTCCTGGACAATCCTTTCCAGCTCCTTCCAGTTCTTATTCATCTCTTTCATATCTGCTTCTATTTCCCGACGTAATGTGTTCTTTGGCTTTCACCTCTTCCTCTTTCCTTTAGGGTTCCAAGTTAACGCTTGTCTCGTAATGCAGTTTGATGATTTCCTCAATATGTGTCCTATCCATTTCCATCGTCTTTTGCTAATTTCCTCTTCCGCTGGAAGCTGGTTGGTTCTCTCCCACAAAAAGCTGTTGCTGATGGTATCCGGCGAACGGTTGTTGAGTATCTTGCGTAGACAGCTATTGATAAATACTTGTACCTTCTTCATGGTGGTTGTTGTAGTTCTCCAAGTTTCAGCTCCGTACAGTAGAACTGTCTTGACGTTCGTATTGAAGATTCTGACTTTGATAGTGGTTGACAATTGTTCTGAGTTCCATATGTTCTCCAATTGAAGGAATGCTGTCCTTGCTTTGCCAATCCTCGCATTTACGTCTGCATCTGAACCTCCTTGCTCATCGATGTTTCCCAGGTATGTGAAGGATTCCACGTCTTCCAGATTTTCGCCATCAAGAGTGATTGGATTGCTGTTCTCCGTGTTGTGTTTGAGGACCTTGGTTTTCCCTTTGTGTATGTTGAGGCCTACTGATGCAGCGACTGCTGCTATGCTGGCTGTCTTTGTCTGCATTTGTTCGTGTGTATGCGATATGAGGGCTAGGTCATCTGCAAAGTCCAAATCGTCTAATTCATTCTGAGCTGTCCATTGTATGCCGTGTTTTCCCTCAGATGTTGAAGTCTTCATAATCCAGTCGACCACCAGAAGAAAGAAGAAGGGAGAGAGTAGACAGCTTTGTTTGACTCCGGTCCTTACTTGGAACGAGTCTGTCAGCTGTCCCACATGCACTACTTTGCACTGTAGTCCATCGTATGAGTTCCGGATAATGTTGACATTCTCCTCAGGAACTCCGTTGTGTCGAAGAAGTTTCCATAACGTTCTCCTATCTACACTGTTAAATGCTTTTTCATAATCAATGAAGTTGATGTGCAATGACGAGTTCCACTCAATTGATTGTTCGACGATGATCTGTAGTGTCGCAATCTGATCTGTGCACGACTGGTCCTTACGGAATCCAGATTGTTGATCTCGAAGTTGAGCGTCTACTGTGTCTTTCATCCTGTTCAGTAACATTCTGTTAAAGACTTTTCCCGGTATTGACAGTAGTGTAATGCCTCTGTAGTTTTCACACTTGCTCAGATCTCCTTTCTTTGGAATCTTGATGAGGTGTCTTTCCTTCCAGTCCATCGGCACTTGTTCCTCCTCCCAAATCTTCTTGAATAGAAGATGAAGCATTTTTGTAGTTACTTCGATGTCTGTCTTCAGTGCTTCAGCTGGTATATTGTCGGGTCCTGCTGCTTTCCCACTCTTGATTTGTCTGATGGCCATTCTGGTTTCTTCGGTCGTTGATGGATTGACATCTATGGGAAGATCTGTGTGTGCTGCTTCGATGTCCGATGGATTCATTGGAGCCGGCCTATTCAGGAGTACCTCGAAGTACTCTGCCCATCTGTTCTGCTGTTGCTGAATCTCAGTGATTGGTCTTCCTTCTTTGTCTTTGACTGGTCTCTCTGCTTTAGTATATTTCCCTGATAATTTATTCGTTGTATCATAAAGCTGTTTCATATTTCCTTCTCTTGCAGCTTTCTCCGCCGTCGTTGCTAGTTCTTCCACGTATTTCTGCTTGTCGGCTTTGATGCTCTTCTTCACTTGCTTGTTTGCTTCTATGTACTCAGCTTGTGCTTGGACTTTCTCTGCTCGTGTTTGGCTGTTGTTAATTGCTGTCTTCTTGTTCTCCCTTTCTTTGATCTTGTTGAGTGTTTCTATAGAGATCCATTCCTTGTGATGATGTTTCTTGGGGCCCAGGACCTCTTGACACATTGAAGTTAATGCTTCTTTGATACCTTTCCAGTTATCCTCCATAGTAGTTTCTTCTTTCTTCAGTAGATCCTGTAGGGCTTGGAACCTGTTGTTGAGAGCTACCTTGAATTCATTGCGTTTGTCAGTATCTCGAAGGAAAGCTGTATTGAACCTTTGCAGCGCTGTTTGTCCAGTTGTCCAGTTCTTCTTTAGCTTCAGTTTCATCTTGGCCACAACCAGGTGGTGATCTGAAGCCATGTCCGTTCTTCTCCTGGTTCTCACATCTTCCATTGTCCTTCGGAACTTTTTATTGATGCAAATATGATCTATCTGATTCTCTGTGGTGTGGTCCAGTGAGATCCATGCAGATTTGTGTATACGTTTGTGTGGAAATATTGTGCCGCCTATGACCAATTTGTTGAATGCACACAGATTTACAAATCTTTCCCCGTTTTCGTTTTTCTCTCTCAGTCCATGTAGTCCCATGATATCTTCATATCCGATGTTGTCTATTCCGACTTTGGCGTATAGATCTCCCATCAGAATGGTGAGGTTGTTTCTTGGGCACTTCTCTATGATTGATTGCAGCCTCTTATGGAATTGATCTTTAACGTCGTCGTGTATAAATTTACTCATTAGGAAAATGACAATCTACATTACTTTTGAAATTTCTCACAAAACGTTAAGTCAGTTTTTAAATTGTTGACTAGTACAATCGTTTAGCATAAATCAATCTATAAATACTTCCATAAAATCCGATTTTTTTATTACTTAAGTGATGATTTTGATTTTGTAGATTTTGAACGAATTGTAAGCTTGTAAATATAGATTACCAATGTGAGACATCGTTATATTAAACAAAATAAAGTAATCAGTAATTTTGTGTCTATTTCATCCTATTTGAACAACTAGGACAAAAGAAAACATCATCTCACTTATTACAAAAATTCTCATTAAGCATAGAAAAAAAAGAAAGCCTTCTCAATTGATTTGATATTATCGTTTTGAGTCATTCGCTTTGTAAACAAAATAATTAACTGTAGCATGGAATTTCAGTTGAATATTCTTTGTAAGTTTATTTTATTTACAATACTCATATATATACTCATAGCCTGTCTCTTCAGACAAGTTTATGTACAAATGTCAACTGAAGTACTACTGACAAGTCTGAATACACTTCATCCTTAATCGGTTGCCAGTTTCATACTCTTTCTAATAACATCTATTTGACTTTGATCGTCAAGCACTGAGACTGGAAATATAATTTTTCTAATGAGTTAACATTCAATAATCTCGTTTTTAAAATAACTCATATACAAGATATACATACAATGAGTAGATGCTTAGTAATAACCGGTTACATGGTCCTCTGCAATGAAGCAATTAAAAAATGAATTGTACATGTATTAAGTTAATTTGTATGTTATGAGGATGTTTGTATACATAAATAAATAAGAATCTTTATTGTTTAAATGTATTCTCATACACAAACTTATGATCATATATGGCATAAAATTGATATAATATTCAATGACGAAAAAGTAAGAAAAAAAGAGAATTATAGTTAGCAGGGATTTCTAGGAGGTAAACTTCATTTTAATATGAAACTTATCAGCTGAATATACTTTCATTCAATTACTGATATTCTCATTTGAACTTGTAACCAGTACCTTTCACTTCTAACACCTAACTCTTTTTATTCACTTAGTTACTGAGTTCAAATAGTTATTGACATGTTATAAGAATTTGAGCTATAGTTTTATTATTTCAATTACTGACTATAATTCAATCAAGAATAACAATATTATGCGATAACTCAAACTATAGCAAATGAAAATTTACAAAAACATGTAGTCCGTAATTATTATTTAGAAAAGAAAATATTAAATAAAATAAACTTACATTTCTGTTGTTATAATTTGTTTCTCTTCAAAACAATATTCTAAATTAAGACGTGTAGTATAATTTGGTGAAAGATTATTATAAACAAGTTCAGTTTCAGTTACCTGAAAATTAGAAAAAAATGCTCATTAATAATTATTCTATTGGTTGAGATTAAACATTAACAATGATCTAGAGGTTAAACGTTCGCGCGTGAGACTGACAGGTCCTGGGTTCAAATCCTGCGAGCACGATCGTTGATGCACACTGCTAAAGAGTCCCACATTAGGATGAAACGTCCGTCCAGTGCATCCAGGTTTTTGATGGTGGTCTAACATCAATTGGTTCATGATCTCGATCAAAAATCAGTTTTGTTTTTTATTATTCATATAATATTAAGGAAACATTTCTTATCGTTTCGTAATTGTAAACGGTAATCAGTTACCTATAAACAAGTTTTCTTGGTCATTATTCAATTTTTATTATCATGACCTTTATGTTTGTTGTTTTTCTTTATGTCTGTCAATTGGACAATTATTTGACCTTCAAATTGTTTTCATTCTTATATCCCTTTCTTACCCTTTGATTATTGCGTAACCTCATTTGATAAGCAGAATCTTGAATCAATTTATGATGCATTCTTTTTTATTCTCCTATAGACACATATGTTTTTTATATAATTATAAATACGACTATACAGCTGAAGTATATGATTTTTCTTCTTCACTGAATTATTTTTATTTTTATTCAGTATCTTATTTGTTTAGTTATACGAAATAAATTATTGTGAAAAATATTATTGATTACCCGATTTATTTGAAATAAACTCAGCAACTGGAATTTAAAATAATTCCAGCGCTCCGTCCAGTAAACTTGTCTGTACTTCTTCAGGGTAGAGTTATCAAAATCATCAAAGAAATATATAACGTTTTAACAATCAAATCAGATCAACTCTATACTGTGTTAATTCAATCATATTTGTAGGTTGATTTTAGTAAATAGGATTATTTCAAATATAATTTTCACATATAATGATTTCTCTATACTTGGTGCCTAATATTTGTCAAACTATTCGTTCTAACCTTAACGAATTGTCGTATATATCAAATTTATAATTCATATTAAAATACATATAAACAGAATAATGTTGAGCTATTGAATGGATTAACTTATAATAATCTCAATAGTTGAAATCATGAATCGATTGAAGCTAAACCGCCATGGAAAACCTGGAAGCTCTGGACGGTCTTTTCGTCCTTCTGAGGAGTCCCATACTAAGACAAAACGGCCGTCCAATGCTTTCAGGTTTTCCATGGTGGTCTAGCTTAAATTGACTCATAATTTCAACCATCGAACTTGAGAAAATCTCTTTAAAACCCCTTCTGATTATAACAATCTGTCAATAACATTTACAAATTACTGTGCAAAAACGCATAAACTTACAAATTGTTTAAGATAATTTGAGTAGATTTTAAACTATTTATTGACTTAAATGTCAAGGCAGTATAATACCATACATTGTGTTTCTTAAGTCCATAACTAGAATAACGTAGGCTGATAGTTTTTAATGATAGATTATAATCTACTGGAATAGTTTTATAGAACCGTGAGTAGAATGATTACAGAACTTTTTAAACTGTCTGATGAAGTATACTATACTAAATTACGAAATATCGGAAATTTTATATTCTACTCACAGATGTATCGATATTTATTTTAATATCATTTCATTATCACTATATTTAATTCTAGTATCAGATGTTCTTACTTTTCAATGACTATAAAAACATAATGGCGAATTTAAACATTTATCATCCTGGAAGCAAATATTTTCCAGTTGACCATGGAGATTAGTCTGAAATTAAATGTCAAGACACGATTAAAATCTATTCTCTGTTCGTTAATTTAATTAAATTAAACTACAAGACTGGAATATCACATGAATTCGGGCACTATATTTGCGACAATTGGTCCTCAAATCAAATTACATATTAAATTAAATAGTTGATTAGAAGAGTTAGCCATAATGTGCATAATTGCTTAGAATTTTCCTATAAAGAAGATTTTGCGAATGTATTTACTATATACATTCTTTTTGAGAATTCTAAGTTGTTTTTAATCCGAATAACATTGGTCGCCGTTTTTTTCGATTGAAATTATTATGCTAAGTAGAGTTGTTTTTATCCTTTCACTCAATTATTAAAGATCAAAGGGATGTTGAATATTAACTCCACCTGTAGCTCTTCTAGAGTTACTGCCGGTCCCAAGCTCACACAAAGGAGGACGGTTGAGCATGTCTGCAACCCTATACCGTACAAAACAACCTTGCTAAAACAAACTTTAACCAGAACCAACAATTCAGATCATTTGAACTCTGCGCTCTGAGTTGAACGACCATAATTCAGAAGAATTTTGATTCTTCATGGTTAAATCTGAGATTCTTCGGAAGTTATGAAGCCTATGCCACTTCTGACAAGCAGAGCAACCACTGCTGTGAGTACACGGAATGTCCAGACAATGTGGAAGACCAGGAAGATCAAACAAGTAGCCACAGAAATAAGGAGATACAACTTGACGGTGGTCGGAATCAGGGAAACCCATTGTACTCAATCTGGAAAACAAGGGCTAGATACGGAAGAGATGTCACTGTACTCCGATTACGAAAAAGAAAATGATCCACACACTCAGGAAGTTGGTCTGATGTTGTCCAAAGAAGCAGTAAAGCACTTATAGGATGGGAATCTCATGGATCCGGGATCATCAAAGCATCATTCAAAACAAAGAAGGAGGGCGTTAAAATGAATATTATCCAATGTTATGCACCTACCAATGATAGCAATGACGATGATAAAGATTGGTCTTACGAGAAGCTGCAATCGATCATAGCAAAGTGCTCAGAAAGGACCTGACAATCTCGATTGGAGATCGAAACGTCAAAGTCGGAATGGACAACAATGGTTATGAAAATATCATGAGACGACATCGACTACGAGAAAGAAACGAAAGTGGTGAGAGATTTCCAAATTTATCTGCACTCAACACATTGGTTATAGGTGGAAAAATATTTTCACACAAATGCATACGCAATCTTAAATGGATCTCGCCAAAACACATCACGGATAACCAGATCGATCATATTTTCATTATTAAAAATTTCATAAGGACAATAGAAGACCTGAGAACCAGGAGAGAGGCTGACATTGCTTCACACACCACCTGGTAGTTTGCAAGATCAAAATGAAACTAAAAAATTGGACAACTGGATAAGTGGCATTACAAGCGTTCATTAGAGCCTTCCTTCGAGACAAACTCAACGAATCCAAGATAACTCTCAACAACGGGTCCAAGCCTTACAAAGAAGAAGAAGCAAACATGGAGGACAGTTGGAAACGGACCAGAGAACTACTATTTTCAACGTGTCAAGAGGTTTTGGGCCGCAAGAAGTATCATCATATGGAATGGATCTCTATGAAAACTGTGGACAAGATTCAAGAAAGAAAGAAAGAGAAAGGATACTGTAATCAACAACAGCCGAAAAAGAACAAGGAATGTCAAGACAGAAGTTGAATACACAGAAGCGAACAAGTAAGTGAAGGAGAGCATTAGAATTGATAAGCAGAAATATGTGGAAGATCTAGCAACGACAGAGAATGCAGCAACAGAAGGAAATATCAGACACAGCGAAGACAGTGGCAGGGAAACGTGGCAAATTAGAGACCGTTCAAGGACAAAGAAGACAAGGCAATCACTGAGATTTAAGAACAGAGGAACAGATGAGTAGAGTATTTCGAGAAATTATTGAATGTGCCAGCTCCATTGAACCATCCAGACATCGAAGCAGCGCACACAAAGCTCCTTATTTCTGTCACTCCACTTACGACTTAAGAAATCAAGATTACTATCAGACAAATCAGTAGTGGGAATGCAGCAGTACCTCACAATATACCAGCTGAAGCACTGAAGTCAGACAAAGAAGTAACTGAGAAAAATTCTCCACGTTCTATTTTTAGAACGATTTCTAAGGAGTGACGAGTCTCAACAGACTGGAAAGAAGGATACTTCATTAAAATAACAAAGAAAGAAGACCTAAGTAAATGTGAGAACTACAGATGATTTACATTACTGTCAGTACCAGGAAAAGTTTTCAACAGATTGTTGCTGTGCAAGATGATAGACGCAATAGACGCTCAACTTAGAAATCAACGAGCTGAACTCCGCAAGGATCGATCGTGCTAAGACCAGATCGTGACACTACAGGTCATCGTTAAACAATCAATCGAGTGGAACTCGTCATTATAAATCAACTTCCTTGATAATGGGAAAGCACTCGACAGTGTGGTTAGGAGGACCTTATAGAACCTCATTCTACACTATGGTGTGAGTAGCTGGGAAATCGTCAACATCATTTGAAATTTATACTAGAGACTACACTGCATGATCTTGCACGGAAGACAACTGACAGATGCACTCGAAGTGAGGACCGAAGTTAGACAGGACTACTTACTCTCCCTCTTTCTCTTTCTCCTTATGGCTGAATGGATTATGAGGACCTCGAAGTTAGGAGAAGACTCTGTAAGTGGGTAAGATACACATTGAGGGAATCATCAAACTACATCACAATGCAAGCGTTAACCTGGAATCCTGAAGACAAACGAATAGGAAAAAGGTCAAAGAACACACTACGTCGGGAATCAATATAACACATGAAAAGGATGAACAGCAACTGGAAACAACTGGAAATGATTGCCTTGGACAGAGTTGGATGTAGAATGCTGGTGAGTGGCCTATACTCCTTGACAAGTGGTAACAGACGTAAGGAAGTAATGCTAAATATTACTTGTTTTACTTAAAGTATATTATAGTTTCTTATGATTTCAGTGTAACTATACAATAAAATTATTATGCGATCTTGAAATTTTCAAGCCATTAAGGGAAGATAGTTTTTAAACCTTAAGAATATTTAGTCAAATATTAATGAAACATCTAAATATATAATGGTTTGAGAAATTTTATTAGTTCTTCAATGTTTATTTATTCAATGTTTTGCATCACTGATTATTTAGATAATAAGCTTACACAATCTCAGTTATTTCAGTACAATTCAGTTACATTTTTGAATACATATATTTCTGATTAAAAGTAATATAGTAATAATAATAATAATGATAATAATAATCATAGTAATAATAATAGTAATGATAATAGTAATAATAATAATAATCCCTCATGGGTACAAAATTTGTATTAAATAATTCACTAAAGAATTGAGAAAACGAGTTTGCCGGACAATAATATAGAGAAATTATGTGTAAGTAATCCTACTCTAAAATTCTATTTATTATTTCAATTAAGACAATAAATATATTTATATTTAATTATCAATATTGAGTACAGTATAATGAATTAAAATCTGAATAATTTATGTATTATTTAATAGTCTCCCCTTGAGATGGTGGAGAAGATTTCTAGCTTAGCTGGATAATTTTGATGGAGTTTTGTTCTCTGTGATGGACGGTTTAGTCGTGGAGCTTCCAACAAAAAAGTCTACCTCTTAAATAGGATATATTTAGTATAATTTTCTTTACAAAATCTTATTTTCATATTTGTAACAGTGGAAATATTTTCTGGTCAGTTCTAACTACGTATCTTTTGGATCCGGATTAATTCAACTTTATAGTAATAATTACATTGATATGTTGAATAAAGACCAATGAAACATTGCTAAATAAATAGTTAATGATAGCTGTGAACAATTCTAAATAATTAGTATACGGGATTTGTAGAGTTAGTTGAACTTTCATTGGTTATATTATAGATTGATCTTAGTTATGTAACCATGAAAAAATAGGAAGTACTAGATGGCTGTTTCGCCGTAGTATAGGACTTCTTACCAATACATATGCATGACCCTACCACAAGTAATCAAACTTAGGACCTTCATTCTCTCATCCTATCTTATTATCTCTAAACCATTAGGTCAAAATCTAATGGTGTCAAAATATCTAATTTTAATCACTTAGTGATATGACTGAACTATAATCCACGGGCTGCAGATGTTTCATAATATGACTCTTTGGATTGGATCTCGGAGTTAGTCACTATTTGTTCCCAGTCTTCAACGACTTCTTAATTAGAATCAGCACTTGCTATAGTCTATGAAAATTTGATATAAGCTTATCTACTGAAAAAATCTTCAAGTCTGCCACTACTTGTTACGTTGGTGATTGAAAACGTCACTAAGTTCTGATTCGTTTAAACGTCATCAAACATAGATGTTATCAATACAGATCTATCAACACATAATCACAAACAAAACAAATATATTTTCATCTAGTTGAGTGATTTTGGCTTGTTTCAAAGGAGATATTTCTGCAAATTTACCATGTGATATATACGTGTTTTAATATTCTTGAATTTTCTTAGCCCTATAATTCAATCATTATATATATTATCCTTTAGATATCTTTGTTTATAGGTAACATTTATAATATTTAATTATTGGTTTTCTTTTTCCATAGTAAAGTTATTACGATTATTGAATAGATCTTTAATTCATCATATTTTGTTTTACATATTCATGCATATACATTAACAAGCACGTATACAGTTTCATACTCTGTTAAGTCTTAATATTTTATATGCATGAAAAGTTATGTTTATTGAATTCTCAATAGTTATATATTAAGTTGTACTGTTGAAATAATTCTATGAATATCTGATCATCGATAGAATGAAATCAATGTAAAGATAGATATAATGCTTAAAAGTGAATGAATAAATTAGATATTCATATAATATAAGTTTTATATTGGTCATTTACAATGGTATAACTGTAAGGTTTTATAGTTGATTTGATTTACTAAACATTAACAATTGAGTTAAAAATGAGCAGTTAGATTTAATGTTATTATTATACATGAGTTATAGGCTAATTGTTTTGGGATTATTATTCATCGTATAATGGATTCAAATAGCTTATGGAGATTAGTTATTTTCAGAGAGAGATAGAGAGAGAAAGAGAAAGGTGTTATTATCAACCTGGATAGATATGGATTGATTACATAAATTTTCGAAATTTCGATAAGATGCTGTAATTAATGTGGTTTAGCAGTGTCCATAGTGAAACAACTACTCATTAACAATACTATAATATGATGCGGTTGGAATTTTCAATAAAGGTCATCCGATTTTAAATTGATAATCAAAAGATACCATACTTGATTTAAGGATAAGTTGATTTTTCTTTAATTCTGTGTGGGATTATAGGTGAATGGTGTTGAAAAATATTGAAATACGATAGTTGTATATATGTTATATTATTTTTCACCATACTTAGTATTGATAACCTAAAAGTATTTACATCACATTGACATTATCCTAGGTACTGTATGAACAGTCACAGTAATATCAAGATCGTTGTCAATATTTATCGATGAACTATAGATTGTGGTTTTCTTTTTCATTATTACACTTTTTTTAATGTTATTTGGTCTAAACTAGTCTTGATGTAAAATTTAAACATACCACATTTTCTTATAATTAAATTGTAAAATTCCCTTATGAGTTAACTCTTTACAGTTTCACAGTTTAAACATAAATAATAATTTAAGATTAATAAAACTATTGATTTTACAAAATTAAATTACAGTGAACCCTTAATCACTCGAACGAAACGCTTGAATGAGAAAATATAGAATTATTTTACATACTATTACATTTTTTTCTTTACGAAGTTGTTGTGTATATTAACTGGCATACATTATTAACAAAATATGTCGTGAAAATCCTTGAGCATCAGTGAGTTGTAAGAAAAAACAGATTTCACTTTGAAGCGACTGTCATATAAATTATTTAATTGAAATAGGGCTACTCAATACTTTTATGAAATCAGATGCTTACAAAGATGTGAGATAGTAAATAAGGATGTACTTTGGAAGAAGCTGCTTGAAAAAATATTAAAGGTTTTTCTAGTTTAATTGATAATTCTTAATTTCAAACTTATGACATTTTAGGATTTTGTGGCGTTTGATAGCGTAAGCACAGATTGTTTTATATAACTACACTATCTTATAGATCAAACATAAAAATGATTTTATAAGTTTGTGATCGTTTAGGGTAACAATCAATGATTTGAGCAGTTAAGAAAAAACCAAAACTACCGAAAATCTCGCATATTATTATTACTACTACTACTTTAAATCAATGAAAGACCAGAAGTTATAAAATATCTAGAATGTACTAAATATTTTCTATAGAGTTAACCATATATGTTTTTAACCAATCATACTATCGTTTATGAAACAATAGCGATGTATCAACCTTTGATTATTTTTACCTCCCAGTTTCATGTAATTAAGGCTATCAGTGATAAATTGATGAAAAACTATTGATAATATACAAAGTATATATATATATATATATTCATTCCTAATTGTATTTTTACTCCCTTATAATTATTTCAATAAAGGCTACAATTTGTAATAGATACACATTATCTTAATAACTAAACTATAATCAGTTCATAAATTCCAAATTCAAGTTCACTTAAGTTAGGTTGCTAAAGGGTGACCTTCAGATAATTATTCATCAATATTATTAAATAAGTAAATAACAGTAAACAATATTGTAAATAATTTTCTTTATTATTTTTTTATTAAAAAAATGTTTTCTGATAATCTTACATGTTTTTCGTGTAGATAACCACCGTAAGATACTGAAAATTTGGCGTATGATGCTTTCAGTAATTTTGGTATATTTCTATAGATAAATAAATAAAATAAATAAACAAAAAAATAATCAATACAAGTGTATGTTATTGTATAATATAAATTATTATTGTACTTTAGTTTTTCACTTTATTGATATTATGAACCTACTCAAGTTGGACATTCATTGAAAACGCTTTAAATGATTTGGGATTTTGTATAATTGATCTTTAGAACATTAATTTAGAGGTTAGGTGTTCGCACGCAAACCTGAAGACTTTGAGTTCACTTACTGGTGAAGTTGTAGACGAACATTGCTAGGACAAAACAGATATTCAACTCTTCCGATTTTTCAATAAATGTTTCAATCAAGATCTGTTCTTAGTATCGATAACACTCAGTAGTCTCTATAATCTTTTATGATGTTAGTTTTTCATATGTTTTTGGAAAAAATGAAAATCAGATCTAATAAGTGATTCTTCTTCTTAAAGAGGCGTTAAAAGTAAATCCAATGAATTTTCCTTGAAAAAATACTTTCATTACAAATTCTCAATGACAAAATAAATAACACATACTTAAACCGTAACACTGTTATAAAGTTATAAGCTTATCAGGGGAGGGGTCACCATCTCATATTATTTTATTATATCTCTAAAAAGTTTCGTATACCAAACTATTGTTAAGTTGTGGAGTTGTAAAACAGTTTCGAAGATAGTTTCCAAAAGAATTCTGCATCTTTAGTTTCAAACAGCTAAATACTGATTAGGTAGGGTCACTTGCAATCTTGAGGGGACTGTTGTTTTACATGGATTCGAATCAGTATAATACAAAGACATTGTCTGAGACATGATCAATGAGGTATTTAGCCGGAATAAAGTAGATACACAAGTAAAATACAATCAGTATCAAACATCAAGGATATTGATCACTACACAATGATCAGTCGGTGTAATCTTTTTAACTGTTACTCATAGTCTCACCAATACTCCAAAATTTTAATATAACCATACATTAAAAAAGAAAAAAATTTGCAGTATACAAATTTAAGGTTTCTATCATCGTGCAAAACCAGTGTTATGAATCATTTAAAAACACGACATATGAATTGTTTATTGTAAATACTTTCTTCTTCAAAGAAGTTACAAGTCAACATTACAGAATAAAATAAGTCTTAGTCAATCATTTACAAGTTTCATCAATCTATATAAATAAAGATGGATAGTGGCTAGCAGTGGAATCCAGGACGCGCGTTTCGTCCTATGTGGGACTCGTCAGCTGGATGTACCTGCATCTCAAGTGGCCGTCAGGACTCAGTAGCTAAGTGGAAAACGTGATAGCGTTTGAAGCGAACGGTATTGAGTTAGAGTCCCAGAGTGAACATCAACTCTGAGATGCAAGTACATCCAGCTGACGAGTCCCAAATAAGACGAAACGCGCGTCCTGGATTCCACTGCTAGCCACTATCCATCTTTGCTTATGGTGCTTGTAAATTAAGGTAATATCGAGGCAATAGGCACAGTATGCACATATGCCAATAAGAGACTGATCAATTTTAGTGCTAAGCATCAATGGGAAGATTTGAGTAAAACAATATCAAGTGAATTATATGAGGGGATGTTTTGCATTTCTATGAATGACAATTACAATAAACTCAGATTATAAGTGATGAATGTGTAATTATGATCAAAAATAAAAAAATATCTTTTTTCAGATAACTGGTTAGTTAATCTTTTAAGTATAACTTAAAAACAAATTACTTACTCGCTTAAGCTTATTACTCTTAATGCAGTATAGGCCGTCGGGCTTGATGGTTTACTCCGTCTAGTGCCTCTCTGGGGCTACTACCGGTTCAAAGCTCGGTTAAAGTAGGGGGGTTGTGCATGCGTTTAGCGACCCTATCCCATAGAAAAATAACTCGCTAAGAAAAACGCTTAAAATCAAATAGTCGCTTGTTAACATGGAAAGATATGCTCATAAATTAGATTGTGTAATTATGTTAATGTAATTTGTTTTCCCTTTCTTTTAACTAATCAAATGTTTTGTTCAATAAATGGTCTTTCTTTTCCTATAAAAAGGCAAAATGTAAACTATCCACGTTTATGTCATACTAACGATAAATATTTTCTTTATATGTAAAGCATAAATCATTCACTAATCCAATGATTCTTTCTTTTTTTCTGACAATATCTATTATGTAATATTTAACAAGAAAGGCTGTTATGTTATGTAATTAATAAACTATGAATAATGTCACTTATGAGAATAACAGAATATTCAGTGATTATAAGATGACTACTTAAATGTTATACTTATGTAAATTTCCTTTATATGTTATTACAGTTGTTATATATTAGAATAAGCTTTTAGGAATAACACAATTGTATAACAAAAGCAAATGATTTTATCACATCAAACTATTGAGCACACATCATTTAAGATAAAGTGAGGGATGACCTATACGGCAACTTATTGACTGTCATTTTAGAAAATATCAATACTTTAATAATCATCTATACTATAAACATTACTTCATACAGATTGAATAATATACCTAGAAGCTTTTGAATGTAAAACAAATAAATGTCTTTCATTTAAATTCATATATATTAGTTGTTTGGATCTTCTCGTTGATGTTTATGATGGTAATTGATCTGTATCTTTTGGTATATGTTTATCCTGTGCAGATTAACTTTATATTGTCGCTGAGCCACAAGACTTTTTAACACAGATAGCTAGCAGTGGAATCAAGAAAGCGCGTTTCATTTCATTTGGGATTCGTTAGCTGGATGAAACTGCATTCACTACACGACTCTAACCCGTTACCATTCTCTTCAAACATTGTCTTATTATCCAAAAGTCCTGGAATCCCCTGCTATCCAACATCCGCTTCTGCCTAAAGTGCTTGTGACTTAAGAGCAATATCTAGGAAATCCAAATAGGACGTATATATGTTAAAGGAGAATGATCAATTATAATCCTAAACATGAATGGAAAGATCCAGACAAACAATAACAAAGAATCGCTATTAAAATTACCATGATTTCGCAAGCCAACGGCTACCTGTACTCGGTAGCCAAGTGGATAAACCGATGGCTTTTGAAACGGGAGGTACTGGGGTCATTTCAGTAATGAACATCAATTCTAGGATGCAGGTACATGCAACTGACGAGTCCCAAGTAGGACGGGACATATACTTCAGCTCTATTGCTATCCACCATCCATCTTTGCTTGAAACGTATTAAATGTTCACAAGTCAGAATCATTTTATCTACAAAGTTAATTTTTATCATGTGGATACATCTGACTCCGAAAAATCCACTAGTTCTAGAAACGAACAGCAATTCGAAAATTATGGGTGGATAATTTTTTCTAATCATGAACTTGTCTAAGTTAGATATCCCTCGAAAACCTAGAAGCATTGAGCAGTTGCTTTGTAATAATACGGTGTTCTCTAATAGGATTCATTAACTACCTCATCATAAATGGTCGAACCCAGGACCTTTGGTTTCGCGTGCAAACGCTTAACCTGTAAACAGTCGTACAGTGATTCTACCGATGTTCTGCAAGTTTAACTTTAAACAATCAGCGATTTGCCAATCAAATGTTTATTCATAACTTATATTGTATAACAAGTGATCATATTGTAGTGAGTACGAACACCAACAGAACACAGGGGAGGAAAATCCGATGTATTGTTAATAAAATCTAACAACCATATAGTAAATGCTCAATTTGCAAATTGTCCATCACTTGTCTAAAAATGACTCAGGTTTCATTGTTCTTGCATTTCCATACAAATTGCATTCTGTCTCCACTCTTTACTGTTCGATCTTCTTGTCTCTCCGCTGCCAGACATTCTGATCACGACTAACATCATATACTACTTATGTCCACATAAGTAGCACACACCACAATATCACTTATTTTAAATATCTATAATGCATGGTTTAATGTGAATTCATGGGAAAAAATGTTAATCAATTTTTTTGGTGAAATGATATTATGTATTGCCGTAAGCATAAATATAACTGGAAAGAAATTATCCAAGTGTATAATATTTGTTTTCTTAATAGATATTAATGAAAGTGTTTAAAAAATATTAACAACAACATAATATCATTAATTCCATCTGATGAAACAATGAAATGAATAGATTCATCTCAGTATAAATTAACTTTGATTATCAATTGTAGATCCCAAATGTATAAACTGATGACTAATAATAAAAACAGCTTATTATTTTCATTAAATATTACAATTCCTGATTTCTATAAAGAATCCAAAGTATTTTTTTAATAAAACGAATCTATAAATGTTCAATTCTGTTATGCAACTTGATCGTCAGATGATTTTAACGTAGATTATTTTATGGCGGAAAATTTATAAGAAAAATTTGTTATGTTTTTGTCATCCACCATGGAAAACTTAGAAGCCCTGGATGTCCGTTTCGTCCTAGTTTGTGACTCCTCAGCAGTGCGCATCCACGATTTCTCCCCATGAAATACAAACCGTTGACCTATCAGTCTCGAGCGCGACTGCTTAACCAATAGAAAAATGAGACAGCATCCAACGGTGTTAATAAAGAGTCTCATACAAGGACGATACGGCTGTTTAGTGCTTACAGGTTTTCTATGGTGGTCTAGCTCATGATATCAACTATTAAAAAAAATTTACTATTACATCCACGAAAGCCCCTTTTGATATTATTATTTTTATTTATTTAGCCAATATAAATATATTGGTTGATGATTGTAAATTGTATACATAATCTAATTTAAATTCTGTTCATTTAGCTGACTTAAATAAAATTACAAACCACTAAGATAGAAAACTCAACTATGAACTAGATTATACTTTCAATAAGATCACAGAAGATACACAATTGGCTATATTAAATCACTTTAGATTTAATGCTATGTCATCATACACTACTTTAAAATGAACTAAATATGTGAATAAGACAATTGATAGATATCACTATGAAGTATTTTTGATTAGAAGATAAAGAGTTAGTTTGTTAAGTGGTACAAATTTAATTAACGGTTATAACTA